TAACTTAAAGTGGTGGGGGGGGGGGGGGGGGGGGGGGGGGGGGGGGGGGGGGGTGTCAACAGCAGTATGGCAGGTCGGGAAAAGATGGGTAAATATAGATATGGAAGAATTAATATTCTTTGTTTAAAGTGCGTCAAGATTAGTGTTTATCAATACATATTTTCTCTCCTACCATAGGCAACAGTCGCATTGTCGTTTCGTTATTTCAATGTTTATTCAGAGTACAGCGCCGTCTTGGAGGCATCTGCTTTACATGGGGCTGCTAAATATTTACTGAACATCAGCAAGTGCCGGTGGCAATATCGCCACAGCAGCTCGACGGGGTGTGCTACTTGAATGAACAGTCGTAGAGAGAGAGAGAGGACCTCTCCAGAGACAAGCTACACGAGGGTTGGCTTACTCAATGTGAGAGTCCAGATCTAAAGGGAGATGCCTGGTGCTTTCTCCCACAATCAAGAGGGGAAATGGCAAAGGGAAATGGCAGCGATCGAATCTTACTGTCGGGGAGATTTTTAGTCGACCTCTGTCTTTTATCATTTATAAGTTGTTGGAGTTAAACACTCCCTGGAGTCAACACAGTTTAACGTGTGGTCATCAGCAGTACCATACTGATAAATACAGGATGGGACATAAAAGGGGAAAAACTAAACCAGAAGCGTATCGCCCACTCTCCGGTTCCCCCTCAGGTGAATACTGGTAGCTCTGCCAGCACTGTTGCCACTGTTCGCACTGTTAGGACCGTCAGCCTCTAGCCGCCGGCTCAGCCGTTGCCATGTTGAAAGTCAAGCGCGCAGAGGCAATCCCTCATTGATATACTCTGAATTTGAAATTGAGCACCTTAAAAAATTGCAATTGTTTTTGTAATGACAAGAGATTAAATGACTGAGCGTAATGTGGAATGAATTGTTCATCTAACTCTCAGCAATCTGTTTGTCTGTCTGTATGTGTGTGTTCTTTGTGTATCTCGAGAACCGTAAATCTCCCCATGTTAAAATGCCTGGTACGAAAAGACTGTTTCGGGCTCCATAGCTAATTTCCCCATTCATGAAAGTCTCGAACAGCCACTGCACTAGTAGTAAATAAAACCCACAGAGAGCTATTACCCAACTCCGCAGTTCCCCTCACCTCTACAGACAGTTTTTGTGTCTTTCAGCTTGTCGTTTTGGTTTCACAGCCTTCAACTTCACTGTTTTGTTTTGGTCAGAAAAAATATAAAGCCACAATGCACTACCTGCCCAGCATCAAGCGGCACACAGACAACAACATGCTGGAGTGTTTAGCAGGTAAAGAACCAGATGCTTTTCTCAGGAGTTGGTAGAGACTTTAAATGAATTATCTGTGCCTGTTGGATTTGTAAATATATTGATTTTCTAACGCATTGCAAACTATATAAGGTGATGAAATGTCAGTCTTATATTTGTAACGAGCTCCACTGCCTTCAAGTGGCCATAATGAAAAGTCAATAATTGCAGGTTTTAAACTTTCCGAGACTGTCTAGAATAGATGTTTAAATGTGAAATTCAGAAAAATTCCAAATTAATTAAAATTCAAATTGATGCCTAGTTTAAAACCCATTTGTATAGGGTTAGGCATCTTAAACAGGCATCTGAAAAACTCTATGGCTTTGGTTAAGTTAATTTTAAATTATAACCTAAGTGGGAAATGTCCTTTTTTAGACTCTAGCTCCATTGCTATATATTAATCTATGACCTCTTTAGGACCAGAGGGAAATGCAGCAACGTTGTTAGAACTTGTTCCCTCCCACACATATCTCTGCCTTCTCTGAGGTGCAATGGCCTGTAATTGACACATTTTCAAAATCGAGCTGAGAAGACACTCAAACTGATGCACAGATTGAACAGACAGGTCTAGTGAAGAAGGGGATATCTTAAACAGGGACCGGCAGTAGGTGTAACTGTAGGTGTGAATCGTATTTCACTCAAATCTCAGTGAACAGATGTATCGTTGGATTTATTGATGGATTTATTTGATAGATAAACCAGTTGACCAATGGCCTCATTGAAACTATTAAAAAACGTACTCAATAATTCTGTTTAGTTCCCTTTTGTTTTTCAATTTCATGCCCAAGCAGTCAACCCATGTTGCGGGCTATATTGCACCATTCAGTCTGTGTAAGATTTATAGGAGCAATATAACAGATAACTCCTACTTAATGGCGGCAGTCCCTCCTCTGTCTCCAAAGTCAGTGTTGTTCAGCTCACTTTCATATCATGTCTCTGAAAGACAAGACCTTACTGCTGTGACACAGACTGCATTTAGAAAAAATAGCAGTTATGTAATTACTACATATTTCAATTTATGTAATACAAATACTGTATCTATTAGACAGTATTTTGATGACATTCTTCAAAGCAAAAATCTGCTACATTTGAGATATTTATATAATATAAGCTTGCTTATCCTTAGACTTTGCAGCAGTCACAGTTGGGATGTCTGCTGTCCACAAACTTTGCTTCTACTGAAGATTCAATACAATTTTATTTAGTACAGCCCAAAATCACAAATCACAAATTGGCCTCAGATGGCAAGATAGCAATTCTCAAATGTAATTTGGGTACAGACCAATTAATTGCTATGAAAATTACATCTAGAATTATCAACTCAAAATGAATATTACCTGAAGCTACTGTAAGATATGAGGATACCACGAATCTCGTATAATTTCTTCTTTCAGGCCTACTTCAGCAATGGAAAGACATGATGTAGTTTCAGTGACATGTTTTCATTTATAATTATCTTTATCTTTTTAGAGTCGGGCCTACGTTCCCTCACCACCAATGATTTGACCAAGTTAGGCCCTATGTTTCCTTAGCCTCATGTTAAAATCTGTTATCGCTGATATCTTGCAAGCAATATCCGATAACAGAAAGACTCTTCTTGGTTTAGAATATTAGGATAAGCCAACCTGAGGCAGAGCAGGGCTGGTCATGCCTTCCCCAGGGTAGATATTAAAAGAATAATATCACAACCGCAAAGTGACATCACATCTGCATACTGGGAGCAATGGGCTTTCTGGACAAACGCCATTTGTTTTCCGGTTAACAGGGCTTTAGGTCCAATGGGATATTTTGGGGTTTTGGAATAATGGGCCGTCGGAGCAATGGCATGGCACTGGCGATACTGATCTTAAGGGAACATAGGCCTTCAGGAGCATAGGGTTGAGGGAACATATGATTTAGAGAAGATAGGGTTGAGTGAACATAGTGTTCATTACATTACAGTTATTTAGCAGATGCCTTTATCCAAAGCAATTTACAATTCAGTATCTATCTATACACCGTAGGCACAGCTACGGGAGCAATTTGGGGTTAAGTGTCTTGCTCATTGACATGTGACTAGTGAAGCTGGCGCCGGGGATCGAACCACCTATCCTCTGATTGCAGGACGGCCCTGCTCTCCACTTAGCCACGGTCACCCACTCATGGAATAGGGTTAAAGAAACATAGGGTTGAGTGAACATAGGGCTGATGGAACATAAGGCTGAAGGAACATAAACATGCTCCCCTCTAGGGTAGCATGTTTATGACTAGGTAGGGTAGTCTCGGGTAGTTGTTCCTGGCCACAAAGCCTATAAGATTCTTATAGTGGCTCTCCGTTGCACCAGCATCTGTTTATATTGGCAACCATTTGTTACATGGACATTTTTATCTACGTATTTCTCCTTTGCATGTATTCCTGTCTCTGATTGGTTTATTTATTCATTTGTTTCCGGTTATCACAACATGAACTACAACAACTATAACAATTTTAAGCCATTAATCAAATATAACTAAACATAACATTTTATACATATGCACATACATACTTAAATAGATATAATATATTTTTACTGCCTATTTAACATGTAAATAACAAATAAATAAAACAAGGTCCAGTACCAACCTGTGATATAATCAGCAGTGCTGCAGCATACACACACCCATAACCATGCAACGGCTACCTTTATTCATTGTCACTGTCTTGCATATATAAAGGTTAAGGGACTGTATTTCAGCCTGTCGTCCACCTTCAGACAGGAAAGATCCTGAACCATTTCAAGCTCTCTGCAGATATTTTTTTGTTGTTGCTGCAGTGGACCGTATCACAGGGCCATAGTCCACGTGTCAAAAGCAAGACCTGTACAACCAACTATTACCAGGACGTAAATATAAACCAAGATAGTGCTGTTTTCCCAGGCAGAGCAAACTCGGTTACTAACAGGTGACGTTAGTTCTAAAATGTAAAACAAGGTTTGTGTAATGCTAAAAACAGTTTGTGCCAGAGGTGAGGTGTTTTATCTGAGGAAAATGTAGGTGCAAACCTACAAATGTTTAAAGGGAATGTAAAAGTACTGGGATTGTTTGCAAATTGTATTGCAGTGGAATGTAAAACTATTGCAAACTTATTGTTAAAGTGTTGCAAGGCCTTATTGTTGCCCTGACAATTTTTTTCATCTTCCTTTTCACCTCAGAATTTCCATAGGAGTGGCATCACACAGATTTATAGCTCTGTCTGCGCAATATGAGAAATGTATTTCATTTTTTACTGAAGAGGAATGTAACTGCCTTTGGTAAAACAACCTATTTTCATTGGTACGGTTTCCTTTCCAGTCAATATTACTTCATAAGTTAGAATTGGGGTCTGTCCACGGTCTGTGTAAAGATCTACTGTATATTCCTGCTTCCCACTGTAATTCCAGCTCTGTCTCTCCTTCATGTCTGTGGGCATGATCGCTCTGTTACATTTTGTACTGCTGCAGTGTGATTGAGTCATGAGGTCCTGAGAATACAGCGCTGTTTCTGTGGAAAAGATGTGGACTTCGTGTCCACTATGAAACATCAGGGAACTCATTACCTTTCCCTCTCACCAAGGATTACATGGATCAGATATTGGAAAAAACAAAACACTACAGTATTATCCATGTAATACAATTTTTGCACCTCTCTTACTATCCAATTCATAATTAATTTTTCTTTCTCCTGCCCACTCTGTCTCTCCAGGGCCAGTATTGTCCAGAAGAGAGTCATTTATTTCCAGGATGAAGGCTCTCTCACAATTCGACTGTGTGAGAAAGGTAATGACAGCTGCCCGTCATCTTCTCTTTTCATCCTTGACCGCCCATTATGGTGCCATTATGGTGCCATTATGGTGCCATTATGGTGCCATTATGGCGCCATTATCCCTTGTTCCATCTGATGTTAATCCCCCCCCTTTGGAGCAAAACTGCTCCCAGCCTTTCATACCTTGTTTAAAAAAATAAATACCAGTGAGACAGCAAGGCAACAGGACTCTTTTAGCTTCGAAGCTCACGTTTTTTGTGCAATAAAAAAAACAGAGCCCGGACATGTGTTTCAAACTTCATCTCAGGGGATTTTGACTCATTAAATCTTCCTCTCCTCTCCCGAATCAAATTTTCCATGTTGTTGTGCAAGCCAATCAAGCCACCTTGTCTCCATACGTGAGGCGCCTCCGATGTTTGACTCATCCTGCTATAACTCGGATGTCAAGTGAGGATTTTCTTCTGAATAATTTGGCGACTCATAAATATTCAAGTACTCCCCTTGACCTATCTTTGCAAAACATTGGTCGGGACCAATATTTGAATATTCATAAATCTGCGTCAAAGCTAATGTGTCATTTAAATACCAGTTTATTCCAGGGATGTTTGTTTTTGTGACATTCTCACTGGCTCCAAATTGTAGTCATTTCACTGGTAATTTATGCAGGTGTTCATTAATGTCAAAGCTTGCGCACTGGCGGATCTCTGTTTGTCTGTTAGCTCCTGAACTCTGTTTTCTATCATTTATTTGGCTCGTGCATTGTCTGTCCTTAAAATTGTGTTTGTTCATGTTCACGTCCCGTCTCCCTGTAGAGCGTGTGTTCGGCGAGGCCACAGAAGCTCCCGCTATGGAGTGCTGCGCCTGCGGAACAGCCAAGTACAGACTCACCTTCCTCGGCAACTGGTCAGAGAAAGTACATCCCAAAGACTACCCAAGTGAGTTCAAACCGTTGGCCACCACCTGTCAAAAAAGTCTGGATGCGCCACTGGGTTGTAGCAAGAAGGGTTTTGTCAGAAAATACAAAGTAATCTTTCTGAAATAACAACATGGAAAGAAATTGTTTGACATTTTGAACCTACAGTCAGCAGCTGGTTAGTTTAGCTTAGCATAATGACTGGAAACAGGGAAACAGCTAGCTTGGCGCTACCGAAAGCGAACAAATAGATATTGTTTATCTTTTCTTTAATCTGTACAAAAGTGTAAAACATAGTTTAAGTCTCCACTTCAATTCAAACCACTCAAACCTGAATGAAAAAACAACTAAAATGTCTTTCAGGACGAGCCAACCACTGGTCTGCTCTGATTGGTGCGTCTCACTCCAGAGGCTACGTGCTATGGGAGTATGGGGGCTACGCCAGCGAGGGCGTCCGTCAGGTCGCTGAGTTCGGCTCCCCCATCAAGATGGAGGAAGAGATTCGACAGAAGGTAGGGTATCAGATGTCACTCCTTTTTTTGATGGAACTGCACTATTTCCATGTGTTTTCCGAGAGTCATAATGGTCTAAACCAAAGAGCTAATGGGCACTAAAGAAATATAAATATATACATACTTATACTCCAACCTTCATCAGCGCAGACAGAATGTAGATACAGTATCATCATTATATACGCTCATTTGTCAGGGGCTATTACAACATACTGAGAGGTTAATGACAGGCTGAGGCAATAAGAATCCATGACGACACACAAACACACAGTAATTTCTGTCAAAATGGCAGCTGATGAATGTGCAATATAGTGAAATTCTCATTTCCACATTGGGCAAAGCGTTTACATAGCAACACAGGGCGTCTTCATCGTCTCACCGTCCCATTATTCTTCTCATTAAACCAGATGCATATTGACAGTGCTTGGTGCTGCATTGTGCTCGAAATCAGATTCCTTTGGAAAACATCAGCAGACTTACTTTTGAGCAAACTATGCCTTTAGGGGATCAGATATTTTTGGAAGGCATCCACTGGATATTACCCCAAGAGGACAGGCTGTTGCCTTAGTTCCTCACTTGAGTGAGTGCGTGCATGAGAGGACACAGCTGAGAGATGTGCTTTAGCATTCGTGTGTGTATGTGTGCATGCAGGTGAGTCAAATGCTTACATGTCTATTCAAGTCCTTAAAGATTGGGTAATGTGATAATATGTACTGTGAGAAGATAGAAATTGGCCAAAAGACATTTTGGGAAACCATTTATAGCATGCTACGAAGCTACTCCTTTAAGTTTAAGCTTTGCTTCCTCCGAAGGCTAACTTCAAATGAACTAGAACTAATGTGAAATTATTTTTGAACTGATGGGAAAATAATGTAGCTCACCATGTTACATAGTAGACGACTTGAAGTTCACTCACCGAGCCTCTGCTGTCTCAATTGAGTGATAAGCTGCTAATCTTACTCTACAGCAGTTGTATTTTAAAAATTCATCAAACAGCTTAATCTTTATCAATGGACTTTTTTTTCAGAAATGTTTTTAAATCCATAATCTTCTCATCTGTTTTGGTATCACAATCATCCAATCAGCAAGGGTAGCTAGTTTTCTCAGAAATGCATAAGGGGAACGGGGTATGCAATTGGTCAGACGGACATTTTTTTCCATAGTTTTTCCAGTTTGAATAAAAAGGGAAAGGCTAGCTCTGACACTATGTTGTTCCATTGTCCCTCTATCTTAAACCCCTTCTCCACCAGATGAGTTTCAGCCATAGTCTGTATATGAGAAGTGGACATTGTAACCATGACATCACCCATTGGTTTGTTTGGCCAGACTTTTTTAGGCAACCAAAATGATTACAATTAACTGTCATAAACACATAAAAACCGACTGTGAAAGGGATAAAGTTTTAAGACGAAAACAAGGACAACATCCAGACTGCACAAAACTGTGGTAGCGACCTGTCAACACAAGGTTGCCCCGCCCTAAAGCCTAACCTGCTTTATGGTTTATTTTACTCTGAATGGGACCATCATGTACAAAATGAACATCATGCTGCATTGAAGACTTGAAACGAGCGATTGAGACCATAAACTCATGTTTACAATGTTTACTGAGGTAATAAATCAATTGAGAAATAGTCATTTTTTCATAGACTTTTATACAATCAGACTTATTTTTTGCAACCAGAGGAGTCGCCCCCTGATGGCCATTAGAGAGAATGCAAGTTTAAGGAACTTCAGCATTTCCTTTACTTTTCAAACGCGAAGGTTACTGCCTGGTTTTAATCCAAACAGTTGAAATGACAGGCTCACATTTCACTCACATGGAGCTCCTAAAGATCAACGAGACATGGACAGGAGGATCCAAGGATTGAACCAACAATCCGGTGATTAATGAGCAACCAGCTATACCTACTGAACTATAGCTGTACGTATAATGAATGGAATTAGTGATACATTAGGCCGTTGGAGGTAGTGTTGCATATCATGGAGCATACATAGATATCAGCATCTGGTTATTTTTTAATCTATAATCAGTTTCTCAAATGATCACAGTGTAAAATGATATATTGTTATAGAAGATTGTATCTATATGTGACATATGTATGTTGCCCCTTCGTGCTTAGGCCCACAATATGAGGTTGTCTCTGAGTCTTCTTTCTGCCACTCCGTCTCTCTCTATGTGAGCTCTGAAAGGTGTGTCTTGGCCATTTGCGAGGGAACAATAGCATGTTGTTAGTGGGCTGTCAGTATGGTGTGTGCCTGTCAGTTTAGGTTTGGGCTGTTGTGTGGAGACATTAGAGTCTGACGGACAGCCCTAAATCCTCTCTTGGCTGGCTCTGTCTGTGTCTGGGGCTAACTACCCTGACACAATGGAAACTTCAGCCTGTAACATAGCAGAATGAGATGGCTTGATTGTGTACTGTAGACTGGAATGTTAGCCATTGAGCTGTGGAATGAAACAGCTCGATTGTACACTGTACACTGGAATGTCAGCTATTGAGTTGTCAGACTTTGTAACGGGGGTCTTTTCTATTAATCCGTGAACTAAAAAGGTTTTGTGTCTTGCCATTCACATGGCAAAAGGTGGATCGCACAATGTGACTCTTCTTTCAACGCGACAGCTGTGTTGTTACTGAAAATTCTTTTCTACTTAACAAGAAGTATGGACTCAAAAGTCCAAGACTACAAGAAAATAGAATAAAATCACATATGCCATAATTTAAAAGATTTTCCTTTATAAAAACAGAAGACATACTAATAATGTTGCAGCTTCAACTCAAGGCTGAGTTTTGTTTGACCATCAGTATGAAACAAAAATTGAAATGATACAAAACATGAAATCATCAACATGTCATTGCATTCAAGAAGTTGGAAAATGTAAAGTATTGGCATTCGCTTGACTAATACTTTCTGCACTGGAGGCCATTGAAATTATTATTAAATATTTCTTGTATTGTGCAGTAAACTGGTAGAAAGAGTATGTTGTCCATATCTATGATTTTAACATCATTAAAGGAATAGTTGCCAAGAGTTTGATGGGAATATTGATACTATTGTCAAATCTCTGCATTAAATATGAAGCTGCAGCCGAATAGCTTAGCTCATTATAAAGACTAAAAACAGCGAGCTAAAATTGACAAAAACGCAATAACCAATTATGTTGCACAAACATGTCAACACTGAAATCTTTGTAAGTTTATAGATTCTCTTCTTTACCAAAGAACAAATCGCAAAGTGGGTTTTATGAAGAAATTTCTTATTAATTAAGAACAGTTGGCGAATGAGGCCAATTGTTATGCTTAATCATATTTAAATATTAAAACAAGTGCCTGTAGGAGAATTCTAACATGATAGTAATGCCCAGAACAGGATCAGTGCTTTTGAATATATAATAAAGTGCAATAAATAAATGTAATCAAGTAAAGATAGTAAACTTTATTGCCCCTGATGGGACATTTGTCTTGGGCACAGTGCTGCAGTCTATTGCTTTACATAAAAGGTACTTGACATTGATAACATGGTTGCTGAAAAAAGAACTGCACGCTTTATGATATTGTTATTTATGGAGATCCAACAATTACCCACACAAGCAATCACTGGAGCGACAGTGGTGAAGAAAGACTCCCTTTTAACAGGCAGAACCAGGCTCTGGGTGGGTGACCATCTGCCTCGACCTGTTGGGTTGAGAGAGAGAGAGGACGAAGGAGAACATACAGTTGCTCCACATATTGATGCTTCTCCTTGCTGCCATTTTCGTGTCCCATCACAAAGTAAATACATTAACATGCAAGTGTCTCAAAATGATCTTTGGTGTGTCTTAGTGTGAAATAAGATGTCAGCTGATTGATTCTTTGCTCTTTCAACGTCAGAAGCTCTCTCCCAGAGCCTGCACCTGCGTGATCAGAGCTGATGTGTGCTTGGTCTTAGCTTCGAGTCTCTGTTCGAGTTGGATCACATCAGCTTTCTGTGCCACCAAAGAGGATTTGATCTCTTTGATCTCACGGATTAGACGAACACTTTCCTCTTCCGCTTTCGTCTGTTTGGACTGAGCTGCCGCGACATCGATCTGCAGACACAAGCTCCTGTTTTGTTCTTCGATGAGGTCAGCAGACGGCTGCTTGGCCTTTGTCTTCAGCGAGAGCAGCTGTTGGTCTTTGGCTCTCACCTCTTGTTGACGTTTCTGCACCTGGATCTGAGAGGCGTTCATGCACAGGTGTCTCTTTTGCAGCTCAAATGATGCGGTCCTGAAGCTCCTGTATCTCCTTGTTTTTCTCCAGAGCCAGCTTGTCATTTGTTTCTACGTGCTCTTGCAGCTTTTGATTACACTGCGCTAAATCTCTTCTCTGCTTCTTAACTTTCTCACAGCTCTTGAGCTCAGATGCCAGAGTCTCCACCTCCAGCTGGACTTTTGCCGAGTTCAGCTACTTTTGCTGTGTAGCCTGAAGATTTTTTTCCTGAGCTAGAGCTTTTTCAAGAGTAGCTGTTGATGATTTCTCATTTCTTAAGGCTTTCTCAAGAGCCATTCTGAGCATTTGTTCCTGTTTCAAGTCCATTTAATTGGTTTAATGACCACGGTATCACTGTGCTTGATTGGCCAGCAAACTCGCCTGACCTAAACCCCAGAGAGAGTCTATGGGGTTTTGTCAAGAGGAAGATGAGAGACATCAGACCCAACAATGCAGACGAGCTGAAGGCCGCTATCAAAGCAACCTGGGCTTCCATAACACCTCAGCAGTGCCACAGGCTCATCGCCTCCATGCCACGCCGCATTGATGCAGTAATTCATGTAAAAGGAGCCCCGACCAAGTATTGAGTGCATACTGTATACTGTACATGGACATACTTTTCAGTAGGCCAACATTTCTGTGTTAAAAATCCTTTTTTGAATTGGTCTTATGTAATATTCTAATTTTCTGAGGTACTGAATTTTGGGTTTTCATTAGCTGTAAGCCTTAACCATCAAATTAAAAGAAATAAACAGTTGAAATATCTCACCCTGTG